AAGGTTTTGGTACAGTGATTTTTTTTTTTTGTTTATTTGGTTTTTTTTGTTTTTTTTTCGCAGTCACAACGAGGAAGGGGATTGATTTGGGGGGTTTTGTTTTTAAAATTTGATAATTTTTAGGCCTTATTTGTAATTTTAGAAGTTTTAATATATTTACAGTTTAGATTTTTGTGTAATTCTGCACAATATTGCACAGTAAAATGCACAATATTGCGTGATGGAATGCACATTAAAAACTCAGTCATATTTTTATGAAAGTCCATAATCGTCACCACCTCGCTTAGTATTTTTCATCGGTTGGTTCGGTTGTCTGACCAACTGAAGTGTCAAAACTGAATAACTCATCAAACTTGGGAAAAAATATAACAAATCAATTTAAAACCGAATTGAATTAACTAATTAACCAAAATAAATTATTATTTTTATTATAAAAAACTCGTTTAGTATTTTAATACATTCATTTAATATTTTATATTATATTTGGGTAAAAGTAAGTAATATATTTATATAAAATTATAACAAAATATAATTTTTTATATAGTTCGGTCAATTTCGATTGATATTGTGCAGTTTGATAGTCATTAATGTGCAATTCGTATACTATTATTGTGCACCTGCAGCGGAAACATTTTTTTATTGATATGTCCCAAATCAGACTAAAACATAACTGAAATAATTTGTTTATTCAACTTATTAACCGACTTGCCCTAAATAATAAAATTATTTTATATCGATCGATTCAATTGCGCCGACCGATCGAAAAGTCAAAACTGAAATAATCGATTCAAACATTTATAAAAAAAAACTGAACGGGGAAAATTTAATTATGTATTAATACGGTTTGAAAAATATATTACCAAATAACAATATATTAAACGTGTATTTAGTTGGCGTCGATATTATGAAAAAATCAGTTTAGTCGGGTGTGTATATGCACATTAATAATTCAAAAATTACCAAACCGCCAATGCATTACATAAGGCATGATATTGTCCATCAGTTGGTGTTGATATTTCAATATTTTACATTTAACAATCTATATATTTATATATATATATATATTTTATTATGTTTAGCTAAAAAATAAATAATAGTTATATATATAAGATATAAAACGAAAAATAATTTATATATAGTTTGGTATGTTCGGTTGTTTTTGCTATTTTAGATATTAATTTCGACATCGAACTAAAAGATTTGAAAATTTAAAAGTAGATATATAAAATTGAATCGAAATATAAAATTTTGAACCAAAAAAAATTAGTTTGATAGGTTTTGGTCACTAATGTACATTTCGACAAACGTGAATGAGCAATTCACATATTCAGGCGCTATTGTACAGTCTGACCGACCTTTGTCTCAAACCAAAATTGAAACTGAATTGAATTATTTGATTTATTCAGTTGGTTAACCGGGTAATCCTAAATAATCAAACTAATCTATTATTTATATTAATAATATATTTAGTATATTTAATAATTTAATTTAATATATTTATACTATTTTGTTTGAAAAAATAAAATATATGAAATACCAAATTAATGTTGTGCACTTCCACATACAATCATGTGCATTTCGTCAAAAATTATTGTGCAGTATATTTATTATTGTGCGTGTATTTGTTTATGTACGTTTCAATCATAAAAAACTTTAATCATGTGATTTTAATTAAATGATTGTGCACTTATCAAATTATTTTTGTGATTAAAAAATATTTTAAAATTTATAATTTTATTGAATTATCTAAATTATTTTATGTCGAAAATAAATAATATATATATACATAATTTATAAATATAATATATTTTTATGTGCGCACTTTCATGTTAATGTGCATTATTATATACACTAATGTGCATTTAGTCTAATTCTATTGTGCATTTTATAGCATGTATACTTTTTGTATGCATATTTAGAAGTGATATTTGTGTATTTTACTTATCATTATTGTTTATTCATTAGACTATTGATAAATTACAATTTTAACTCGTGAACTAAATCGTAATTTATTAAACATTTCTGATTTTGCAAATAGATACCCATATCTTATCTAATTTTCCACACGAGGGCCTCCACCACCACACGGATTGCGTGCAGCTGCCTCTCCAACTTCACCGCCTCCACGTGCCTCTGCCGAAGCTTCGCAGTCACCTCCACCACCTCGCCCCTTCCCTGCCACCGTTGACAGTAAAGTATTTTCGCCACACCGTCTCCTAGTACATCCTCGATTATCTCCCATATGTCGCTGAAGCGGGCCATCGACTCATGGAGCTTCATCCAGAGGCCGTCGATGACAGAGGTTCGGGTCCGATCGGAGGAGTTGCCGAGATTGAAACTGGGGAGGTGGCGACCGACGGTGTTGGTCCAGTCCAGAGACTCGAGGCGGGATGTTATTACTTTCATCCCTCAGAGCGGCGGCCATGCGCGTCGATTCCCGACCAAAGGTCCCTGAAAGCGACGGAGGTGTTGACGTTGGGAGGAGAAGAAACGGTTGTGGATGGTCTTCAGGCTGCCGATCTTGTCCTTGACGGCCTCCACTTGATCAAATAAAACATCAAGGCTGCCGGAGTGTTATGTCGTCGGCGGCGGCGACGGAGCAGGGGTGGTGAGTAGAGGCGGGCTGTGTGTGGCTGACTGGATAAGACCTGCAAGAGAGAGAGAGATTTGGGGGAGGCACGCGTGAAGAAGGAGATGTGTGTGAGAGATAGAATGGTAGTGTGTGAGAGAGAATAGAATGGGAGGGAGAGGGGTATGGGGCCACGTGATGTGTCTGGTAGTAGAGATTGACTATTATATCCTTTGATAATGTATATTCTGGATTCATTTTTTGCCGTTAGATGATTTAATCCGATGGATACGGGATATTCTTATTTCTTTCATTGAGCATCATTCTCACCGGAGCGCATTCCTATATAGAAGTATATATATATATATATATGTATATATATATATATATATGTAGGGTTGGGTTCACATGAGAATGATTCTCAATGAAAGAAATGAGAATAAATTGTAGCCATTAGATCGGATGATCTAATGGCTAAAAAAAAGTCAAAATTATACCTTCATTAAAGGTACTATGGACATTTACTCACAAAACAAATTAATATCCACCACATTATAGTGGGCCCCACCCAAATTAAAAACCATTTCCCATCCCAAATTTTCTTCCCCAGCCCGTCACCTACCCTCACCTTCCCAGCTTTTATGCCCAAACCCGTCTCTCTCTCTCTCTCTCTCTCTCTCTCTCTCTCTCT